AATAAATTATCATTGCAAATAATGTTTTAGATTCCAGCAGCTCTAAAGAGATGATTATTTGAGTGCACCTTCACCATATTTAACAAATAACGATTCGAGTCAAACAAACTAGAGATAGTTATATTTTAGTAATTTCGAAAAAACTCAAACTCCTTAAGTATCATTTCAGAAAACCATAGGCGTTACAATATAATTACCCATACTCGTAGTACATCATCTTGAAGATCCTCCTGGCTAGATATTTTATAGTTTTCATAAAATATAAGCATATTTCTGGAAGACAGTCCGATCCTGTCTTTACGGTACTTAGCGCAGAGTCGTGACACTGCAACGATGGCAAATGGTTTGCATTATATTGAAAGTGTGAAAGCGTAAAGTAATTAATAATTATAGAAATGTGGTTGAATGCCATTAAAGCAATGACGTCAAGTTATATTCAATGGTTTCAATGAAGATTGGGATTTGAAACAGCTTTTAGATTTTATGCTTGGACAGATCCACTCATTTTGAACCTAGCTACTTACCTACCCTCTGAAATTGGGATTTATTTATTTTCTTCAATTTATTTATATTTATAACCAACTATTCAATATAAGCTCATAAACAAATATCTTCTCACAAACCAGGAGTTCCCAAATTTTTATCGTCCCTAACATGTTGGATGTTCCTGTACACGACTTCAAAGTTGTACTTGGAGGCGGCTGTAAATCAAATTATCTGAAAGAACAATTCATTCAGGCCAGTCTCAAATTACCTACACTGTAGGTTAATGAACTGAGACCTATCAGAAAACAACTACTTCCCTGGATAATACCACGAAGGGCGTTGAATTATATCCGACAAGTGTCAGTGCAGGAGGTAACCTGTGAACGAGGTAACCAATCGCATATCCGAAATTTGTTCAATTCCTCGATTGCGGCAGTTGTATCGCCAACAGCATATGCAGGAATAACTTCAGTGAAGAATCGCTGACACCTGTCGAATATAATCCAACGCCCTTCGTGGTATTAGCCAGGTGAGTAGCTGTTTTCTGATAGGTGTCAGTCCGTTAATCTTCAGCGTAGGTAATTTGAGACTGGCCTGAACGAATTCTTCTTTCAGATAATTTGACTTCAAGGTTGTTTGTTGGGATGTAATGATAGTATATTTTTTTATGAGACCTCAATAACTAAATAAGATATCTGATAAATTCAGAATGGGTTCGAAAGGGAAAGAGTCCTACTTTCAGATAACTAAACTAGTTCCGGAATTCTTGAATGATTTTAGCAATTCTGAGGTATCTTCATCCCAGGTAATTGATGTTTCTAGAAAAATTCAGTAAAAATATATTGGCCTTACACAAGCCATCCCATCCGCTCTAAGGTATTTTTATTTTTCCACATCCGACTAGTATCATTCATTCATTATTTATTACCTACTTAGTAGGTACCCCTCTGAAAATAATGATTATTCATTAAGAATTCAAAACAGTACATATCTAATACATAAAAGGAAGTCGCAAAGTTACACTATTTATAAGTCAAGAACGGTTGGACTCATTTTCATGATTTTCGATTTGCTGGATTTGTCAACGCCCAAAATAGCAAAATAAGTACTGAAACATTGAAAACACGATAAAAAAAAAATTGAAGATCAAATAAACTGACAACATTCATTTAGTTAGGTTATGACAGTTGTCATGGTACAGGCAAATACAATTGGGGTTATGATATTTGATTGTGCGCGCATGAATGATTGCTATGTCATTTTAGAAGCAGAATCAGCAATATTATTTACAATGTCGCAAGCGAGAAGATTGAATCTTTCACAACGAAGCTGTAGTATAGACTGCTGGATATTGCGAATCAATCCACTTCAGGTACAGAAATCGCACGAAAAGAGCGCCATGATCAGCGTTAAGTGTACTGTTTTTGCAATAGATATGTTGTTTCAGCCTTCGAGCTATTTTTCTACTGTTTGAGAGTTGAAATATATCGATAACTCAGATTACTTCCCATTATTATTAAATAACCATAAATAGTAGAAGTTACGATGTATGTATCTATCAAAAATATTTTCTACTGTTTTTTTGTATTACTCTGTATATCTGAACAAAATCTAATCCCAAGCAAGTAAATTACCTAGCTGTGTTAGTATTGCCCGTCTTCGTGATTCATAAAAACAATATAAAAAAAGTTACCTATTATACGTATTTCAATCAATTGTTTGAAGTTGGGAGCAGAACGTTCTTAAGGTGTGTAAAATGAAAATATTTTTTTATTTTTTCTGTGTTAAAATCATATATTTGATTCATTAATTACTTGTGTTGTTTGGAACGTTTGCTGTAGTAATGAATATTAATGAAGATGATCACTTGGTGATTTGAAACACGTGTCGAAGTGTCAAAAATAACGGTGTTGGGATAACACACCAGTAATATTCTTGAATTCATTAATCGATTTTTCTGTAATCCCATTGACTTTCTGGCCCAAATGTTTATCGCTCCTTTCATACTTCATTTGAGATTTTTTAAAATATAAAGTAGGCTTCACAGAATTTGTCATGAAAAATTAAATAAAAACATTTCTAAATTGCGTCTACATTCTTAAAGTTCTAATTTGTAGCAAATATCGGCGAATCTATTTTATAAAACAATTAAAAAATCTGAAAAACAACAATATTCACATTTTCTGATTAATTCTAAACCTTGAAAAACTTTTAATATAGTAGGTTATACACAGATTGGAGTGTTATTTAAAACAAGTATACGAGAAACGTACATTTGAACATTTAATAACTGAGAAATGAGTGCAGATAACCAGCAACTACAGTAATTGTAACGTGTCTTGCACAATGAACATACAAAGTATGAAACGAAGTATTCCCATTCATCAGATGTTGCCGTTATCTACTAACGGTAGTAGAGAGTAGAACTGACTGTTATTTCGACGTGCTCTATTGAAAATAGATTAAGATCGATCTGATATCAGCCGAGCGTGATATACAGGAAATCTTTAATCTTTGTTTATTTAGTTATGGCACGTTTTTGTTATTTTCTTGAAATTAGCAGTTATTGACCTTATTTCCCGAGTTCAGTTATAAAGATAAGCATTTTTTTGGTGAATCGAAAACAAGAACATTAGAACTCTCTATTTAAATGAACTTTCTTGGTTTGTTCATTTATAGGACATATATGTTCCTATAATACGCTTGTTGGGGTTACACAATCCCACAATCCACAGTATCACAGAATTCATGTCCCAATTATATTCAAAACTCAATAGTTATTGTAAAATTGACAATAAGGCGAAAGTTTTTTAGTTATGATGGATTGAAAAAAATTGGGATTTAAAATGTCTCTTTTTGTTGTGTCACATAAGTATATGAATAGGTTTTGGAAAAAAGCTTTTTATCATTTTACTTCTGAATCATTATGTAAAAAAATGATAGAGTTCCGAAGAAAGGAAGAAAGCAATGAATTCAACTAAATTCACAAAAGTTTACCACTTTTTTTGGTTAATGATGGAGAGTAGAAGGTCACAAAGCTTTTCATCAACTAATCTGCCCAAAAAAATCCTTTTTCAATAAGAATGATTCAGATCTGTTTTAAATTTTGTGAACTGATTATTTAAAGGTATTTTAGTTGAATATTTCACTGTCTTGATATGCTAAACAATTAGGAACGCAAGTATACTGAGTATTATACTTATACGTTAGTCGCATATACTGATTCTACTTTCGCCAGTGCTAATAGATAATCGATGTAATTTATAAACAATAACAGTCTTGAAATATTTTGCCGTCAGAAGGCTTTGCAAACATCGATATTGAAGCTACATCTGTCAAATTAATTGTCATTTATTCATTCTGTTTTGCCAAATCACCATAAAAAAGGGTGTTCTGTTTGGGCAACTTACCGCGCTTCGCCCATTTTACAGTCGCCATAATCGTCCTACCAAGAGGACTATTCGCAGTGTGGTGGATAAATTTGAGTCCGTCCATTGGTTCAGTAAACGATCGACCAACACCCGTAAGTTGACGAAACGCAAGATCTGCTGCCGAAAACACCACTGCTGTCTATGAGAGTGTACAGGAGAAACCGAGGCAGTCGATTTCGCGTCGATCACAAGAACTCGGCCATTTGCAGACCACAATTTGGCGAATTTTGTGGTGTGAGTTGGGCCCGCACCCGTTCAAAATTCAAGTGATCCAGGAACTGAAGGTAAACGCTTTCTTCATCAAAGTCACCCCCCTGACCAAAATGAGGGTGACTTTGATGAAGAAAGCGTTGGAGAATGTCCCAAAAAAATGTGTGGACCTTCAATGGGAATATCTTTGTGAAAATTAATAATAAAGTACATCGTCTTAAAACTGAAACACAACTGGAAATACTCCGTAAAACAACACGTTATCTGTATCTGAACAATTTTAAGTCGTGTAACTGATTAACTAAATTTGGGTTTAACTTATAGTTATTATTATGTAATTTTCATTAATATTTATCTTCTTATTTTATAGCCTTCTCAAGCTCAGAATTATGCTTTTCATGTATTACTACATTTCATTAGTCTATTTTGGTGTTCATGTTGAAGTTATTATGTAAGTAAGTATTATGTAATTTTCAGTATTATTTATATTCTTTTTTATAGCCTCCTCAAGCTTAACATTATATTTATTGATGAATTATTTGCTACACTTCATGGTTTCAATAGAATATGTTTTTTTTCCTGTCACAAATGTAACCCATATTACCTATATATTTATAAAATGGATTTTTTTTTGTTAAATTGGCAATTTTTGTACAAATTTTAAGAGGCAGATTTGCTACATCACTTTTTCTTTTGCTTGTTGACAGGTGTTACAGGGCTACTCAGTTCACTATTTATTTAAACATCACTCTGCATTTTTGTCTCATTTTTCTCTAACTTCTCTTTCTTTTCCTTCTCTTTACAAATTACTTGATTGCCATTCATTCAGGTCATGTTGAATATATGTCATATGAATGTCAGATCCTTACCATCAAAAATTAATGAATTTCATAATTAGATTCTCGCTGGGGACTATGATATTATGGGAGTAACAGAAACATGGATGCATGTAGCAGTAATGTAAGTTCTGCTCCTTATATATTTTTACGCAAAGATAGGTTATCCAGAGGCGGAGGGGTAGGTATTTTTCTGAGAAATACTTTCAAATATGAAATTATTTTGAGTCAATGCAGTGAATAGCTGGAATGTATTTGGATAAAATTAAACGTAGGTAGAAATAACTTTATAGCTATCGGTATAGTTTAAATGAAATCAATATAAGTATTATAAAAATTTGCTGTCCTTTCATTATAACGGTACTAACTCACATAATAAACGAATGCATAAGTCAGAGTTATTTTCCTGATGCATGGAAATGTGCAAAAATTATACCTCTACCAAAAAATGATCACCAAAAAAATTTTAATGATTCAAGGTCAATAAGTATTCTCCCGACATGTTCCAAAATTATAGAGAAAGTAATGGAAAATCAAATGCGCTGTTTCATTAATCGTTACAATATTTTGCCATATAAACAGTCAGGTTTAAGAAAAGGTTATAGTTGTGCAACAGCATTATTAGAGATCGTAGATGACATAATTAAAGCTATAGATAAAACTGAAGCCACTATTTTGATTCTGTTGGATTATTCAACAGCATTTGATACCATCAATCATAAAATATTTTGTGCTATTTCCCTTTTTTTTGAGTTCAGTGATGCATCAGTAATGTTGATATCATCTTATCTATATAATAGATTACAAAAAGTACAGATTCATGATATTTCTTCTACTTGGAGAGAAGTTAAAACAGGAGTACCCCAAGGCAGCATTTTAGGCCCACTGTTCTATACCCTCTATACTGCCACATTCATCAATAAGATGAAGTCTTGTAAATATCACCTTTATGCAGATGACTCTCAAATATATTTATCTTTCAAATCTTCAGATATAGGTCAAGCAGTAACCGATATAAATTTTGATTTAAATACGATTTTAAAAGTGTCCATTGACCATATGTTGGAAATCAATCCAAACAAATCAGTAGCTATTATTTTTGGAAATGATAGCATCAGGGAAGAAGTAAAAAACTACAGCTTGAGAATGGGAAACTCTGAGATAAAATTCAGACCGTATTCAAAAATTTGGGGTTGACTTTAGATCATAAACTATGATTTCATGAACATATAACCTACAAACTCAAAATTGCTTATTCATCATTGAAACTCATATATCCCCATAGACAATATTTGGATGTAGATGTCAAGAAAATGCTATGTGATTCATTAGTTTTATCTCATTTCAACCACTGTGACGCTGTTTATTATTCATGTTTAGACAAGAATGACAGGTGTCGCATACAAAAAGTTCAAAACTCTTGTATCAGGTTAATATTTGGGATCAGAAGAAGGTCCAGAATTTCACACAAATTAGCAGATTTGAAGTGGTTGAATATGTTTAATTGTAGACGGTTTCATGCAACATACATATTCTTTAAAATATTCAAATATAGGAATCCTCCCTACTTATATGAACATTTGTCTTATAGAACAGATATCCATAACCTGAATTTGCACAAAAAGACAGTGCCAAACATTCCTGTACATAAAAAGAAAATATTCAAACGAACTTTTTCCTATAATATCTCCTCCACAATAAATTATCTCCATAAATGGGAAAACAATTGTTTTAACATGTCAGAAACTGTTTTTAAAAGTAGGTTCAAACAGCATCTGTTCAGCATTCAGAATAACTAGGTCCACGGCGAGAATCCTGAAAAAGGTTTTAGCTATTCATATATCTATGTCTTTATATTACCTTCTCTTTTCTTTCTTTTATTCCTTTTCTTTCTTCTTTTCTTCTCTTCAAGCTCTCATTTATTTAGTTTTATACATTTTCGGCATTGATGGAAGAGCAGACGCGAATGCAAATTCGCGGTCTGAACCAAAAGCCATTTGCAATCAAATACAAAGTGTTTTTATTTTTCTCTCTCTTGATTTTGTTTTTTGTTATTATCTTGTATTTTGATGGCAATAAACTTATTATTATATTATTATTATAGACAACGACAGGTGTTCGCTGAATGGGGAATGGGTACGTATACAAACAATTTGAGACGATACCAATCTACATGAGATACAAGAGCGTTCAATGCATCCCGAAAAAGTCACTTTTTGGTGTGGATTTTGAGCCGGGCGTCATCGGTCCATATTTATTTGAGAACGACATTGACTAGGGACTAGTCCAACTTCTTTCGGCCTGAGTTGGATGATTTAGACACCAACGAAATGTAGTTTCAACAGGACGGTGCTATGTGCCACGAGCGATTTGAGGGCATGGTCATCTCACGCGGAGGTGATTTGACCCTGCTAGACCTTTTTTGTGGGGATTCCCCAAGTCGCTGGCGTATGTAAATAAGCCACAAACGAAAATAAATACTCAGAAGCTTAAAAAGGTTGATAATGCTGACAAAAACGTTATACGCCGAATGGTGTATAAGTTTTAGTAAGAAAACAAGGTTCCAACTCTAGAAATGATCTTTGGACACACTGCTCAATATTTTGCTAGATTGTGTCTTCAAGTACAGAAAAACAAAAGACCAGTCATATTGGAGTCATCTAGCACCGTAGCATGGCGGCAGCAGTATTTACAAAAAATTAAGGAATGCCGCCAATCAAAAAAAGAGACAGTGTACCTTGACGAAACTTGGTTCGACACACATGGTGTTGTTAAATATGATTGGGTGGATGACGGCAATAAGTGCTTTCTAAATAGACATTGTTCTCGCTGTAAACGGGTTTTCATTCTACACGCAGGCAGTGGTAAGGGTTTTGTTCCTAATGCTCTTCTATTGTTAACTAAAAATATAAAACAATCATCCGCCTACTACCATGAAGATATGACCGCCAGTATTTTTGAAAAGTGGATCAATGAACTGCTGCCAAATCTTTCACCAAATTCTGTTATTGTTATGGACAATGCGGCTTATCATTCCCGTCTATATAACAAAATTCATACTAGTAGCTAAATTCATGGAAAAAGGCTATGAAAAAAGTATTATTGGAAGCTATAAAAAATGAAAACATCAATGAAGATAGCCTAAATCAATTTATCAGAAGAATATGTGATCGACAAGGTGTGGGAAGCCCATGGTCATACTATTCTACCCCCTCCCCCTTTTAACTGTGAATTCAATCCGATAGAGATGATTTGGGCTGCTGAAAAAAAACTGAAAAAATATAATCAATTTCCAACAGATTGTGATTTCGTACTAAGGAAAATACGAACGGTTATTAATGAATTAAACGTTAGTGGTGTTATAGAAAGGGAAAATGAATATTACATTTCATCTTCCATTGACTCCATTATTTGAGACGTTTGATACGTTTAATGCCACAAGAAATACATCTTGTCGACAAACATTTTTCTGCTAAAAAAATAACTATAAATATTAATAAATTGTTTAGTAAATTTATACATGTACTAATGTACACAAATGAGCAGAGTATGTTTGTTAAAGTGTAATCTTATACATGGGTAAAACTATGATTGAGTAATTTTTGTATAAATGTATAAATAAAAAACACTACGAAGAGAAAAAAAAATATATAACCCCAAATTCATATTCAAGCTCTGAAAATTAAGATAATGAATCTTGAGTTTTTATTTATTTCTCATGTAAGTACAATTTTTTTTTCGTTATCTTTACTGCCAATCAAAAAAATCCATGTAGGTTTATGAAAAATCAAATTAATTTTGAAAGAAAATTATACCACGCCCCTCATGCCATACAAAGAAACTGCCGACGTTTGGGTACTATTTGGTTTTCATGCCATTCGAATTGACTTCCAACTTTATTTCAGAAAGGGTCAGATTCTGTCTTTTTTTTTGGGTTGTACTGTTTTGTTGGAAAGTGTTATGGTTATGCTTGTTTTTAGCGCGTTTTAGTTTTGGACATTGAATAAGATCGAAGTTGTGCAATTTGGCTGTTTCTGTGAAGAAATTCATCAGTGAAGTAATGGTTTACAAATTCTCTTTGGTATCGTACTCCAAAGATTGAATTACGAATAAATATTCCAAAAAACATCTCCACGCCTCTTGGGATAACTATAAACAATTAACAACCTTTGACACCACACATTCTTTTCTTTTCGACTGTGTACTGCACAAACTCTAACTTCAAAATTATTAAAATTTGACAAAATTCATTATTCAATCCGTGATTAAACTATAATTAGTAATATAAATGTAGCACAAAAAGAATGCAGTAAAGAAAAAAGGAGCTCTGACATCACATAATCTTTCTAACGGTGTAATTTTTTTATAAAACAAATATGAGGGATATTTTGTTTGTTATGGTCGAATGGCTTAAAAATATGATATTGCTTACCATTTACGTGTATAAGGGACTTTCTGTAAAGTGTCTTGAAAAATAATGAGAATATCTCAAAATTCACATTTGTATATTTTCACTGATTCTCTGAAGTCAGGTACCTCGAAAATTCAAATGAATTTTTTTTAAAAAGGATAACGTTCAAATAAAATTACAGTTTCGTATTAATGAAATTTCATGAAGTTTCTCGATTTCCATTTAGTCATCAGCGCATAAACTCTCCACTATCTTATCTACTAATTATTTGAATACAATAATAATTATCGTCAACCGAGCCGTCAGTGTTTAATGTTGTTGAGTCATCGCTCCGATAAACAATTTGTTATTATGCAACTATTATATGCATCTGCAAATCAATATTTTCCTTGACAGGAATGGTTATCGGGAACATATTTTTCATGAAGCATTTCTTCGCTGCAACGCGTCATTTATTCTAGAAAATAACGACTGTTGTAGTTTGAATTGAACGAATTATTTGGTAGATAGGGTGGACAATGAAAGCGAAACGAGTCCGATTTCTCAAAGTTGTCACTTCTATCCACTTGGCGGAGTGCGATCCAATTTTTAAATCATGAATAGAATTAGAGGTCAAGTGGTACCTCGTTTAAAAAGTCATCGATTTTTCTTTTCGAAGCCTCGAACTTTTTTAATTTGAATCAATGGGTATGGAGACATTTTATGACAAGTTTGTCAACATGAAAAGCCGGTGTTCAGAATTATTACCCGATATCAATTCGATCTGTCATCCCGATATTCCATCTACTATTTATCTATTATATTTTTTAAAGATCATTAGATCATTTCAAGGTTGATCTTTTTTTGGAACTCCTTTTTTTTATACCGAAATTTTGATTCAAATAAATTTTAAGATTTCATCTCCTGTTGACTTTTTTAAACCATATTTTCTGTTCTCTGAAATTATGACTTATGAATTGAAAAAATATTTTGATAATAAGCAGTTACAAACTGATACCTATCTCAAGAGTATCACTAAGCGTATTCCACCGGTAGAGTGGTCCTGAGAATTATTGTCATAACACCTGTGACAATGTCGTACCTATGATGAAAGGAGAATTCAAAGGTTTAAAATTATAACCTATTATGCTGAAAATTCTTCTGCTTTTCTCTCAATTGAAAATGATGTAGAACATTCGTTCTATTTAGAAAAAGCTCAATTTAGAAAAAGCTCTAGCAAAGTGGATGTAAAACTATGATTGAGTAATTTTTGTATAAATGTATAAATAAAAAACACTACGAAGAGAAAAAAAAATATATAACCCCAAATTCATATTCAAGCTCTGAATTAAACAATAAAGTTTTGGAATAAACAACCAATTTATAAGAACCGGTAACACACGGGCAAAATAAACAGTGTATAATCCTTTTTGCCATATCGCTTTTTCCGAAGCACTTCTCTGACAATAACCTAACCGTTTACAGTTACAAAATATCGAATGCATGTAATAATATCATTCCAATAAGTACTTCAAAATATGTCTACCTCGCTGAAATTGTACCTGATAGTTTGAAGTAAAAGTAAAAATAAGATAATACAACACCAAAAGTGATTGAAATCGAAAGGAAAACAGCAAAATATTCAATTTTAGCACAACAACATGTGAACTCTGCGTACTGTTGTGATTGTAGAGTCCAGGCCGTCTGAGGGGGTGGAAACGTGGTGGAAACTTTGAAAAATCATATAATCGAAAATTGAATGTGTACACCTACGAAATGAAGATATCTCATTCTTGACGACCGAATCGAAAAAATAAACTACACGTCAGAGTTTTCCATACCGTTTGAAGGGGTAAAAACAGGGTGGAAATATTTAAAAAATTCGTAACATGAAAAATCGACTTTGTACACACCTACCAAAATGAGACAGGTTATTCCTGATTACCGAATCGACAAGGAAAACATCATGTTATGTTATTCAAGGCCGCCTGAGGGGTTGGAAATGGGGTGTATAGTTTGAAAATCGTATCATTGAAAATTGAATTTGTACACCTACAAGATTGGGATATATTATTTCAGATGATCGAACCGACAAAAAACAACACGTCATAGTTTTTTCAGGCCGTGCGAGGGGGTGAAAATGGGGTGGAAAGTTTAAAAAAGCGTATCATCATAAATTGAATGTGTACACCTACAAGGTTGAGGATATGTTATTCCTAATCACCGTGTCGACAAGAAAAACATAACTTCACATATTTTTCCAGAACGTCTGATGGGGTGAAAATGAGCTGAAAATTGAATTTGTACGCCTACAAGATTGAGATATGTTATTTCTGATGACCGAATCGACAAAAAAACATCATGTCATAGTTTTCCATACCGATGTACAAAGTCGATTTTTCATGTTATGAATTTTTAAAATTTTCCCTGTTTTCTCCCCTTCGGACGGTCTGGAAAACTCTGACGTGAAGTTCATTTTGGTTGAATCGGTCGTCAAGAAAATAGATATCTCCCTTTCGTAGGTGTACAAGTACACATTCAATTTTGGATTATATGATTTTTAAAGTTTACATCCCATTTTCACCCCCTCAGACGGCCTGGAAAATTCTGAAGTGGAGTTTATTTTGTCGAATCGGTCATCAATAATAGCAGATCTCAGATTGGTAGGTGTACAAAGTCGATTTTTCATGTTACGAATTTTTAAAAATATTTCTACCCTATTTTCACCCCTTCAGACGGCCTGAAAGCTAGGACGATTTTTTTTCACTGAATCGGTCAGTTAGCGCATCATATTGACAAATGGTAGATGTACAAAGTCGTTTAATGAAAAGATAATAATTTAATCATTTTTTCTCAGTGTACTGTGTGGATGGTGATAACTTCAAACCCGTAACAATTCTTGGTATTCTGAGAACATGTATCGACATTGTAGTGTCATTTGTCATATAATCCGGGAAAAACAGTCTTAGCTGCTTCACCTGGGTTATTCACTTTCCCATCTCCCCTACTTATATGGTATTCAAAAACTCCAAATTCATTTGTTTAGAAATTTTACTGTCACTCATGGATACCTAATTTAAATTTTTATTATTTTCCCAATAGTTCTGCCGATCGAAGACCCCGCGAGCGGCAGATCTATTGTGCTTTACCTCGCACTGGATCTCAAAGTAATGCAACATTAAATACGAGTTTTTTTCCAATTCATTCACAAATGTCGTTTGTTTTGTTACAGATAAATCTTCGTCTGATACTCGTCAGTGGCAAAACAAAAGAGTTCCTGTTTAGTCCGAGTGATTCTGCAGGAGACATTGCACAACATGTTTTCGACAATTGGCCAGACGGTGAGTTTTTCAAATTGATAATAAAACATTATTTCAAGAGCGGCAAAGACAAATTAAGATTGTGTTTACTTAGAAATGTATAACATAAATAGTATTTTCCCACAGACTTTATCTCGTATGCAAAGACAATTTATGACTTTGTTTGTCGCTTGTGCACTTCGCACTAGCAAGTTAATATTCAAAAACAGATGTTGAAAATTAAGCCGAAACATGTAATTAAACGCATTTATTATAGAATATATTCGAAGGATCCTTTTTCTTGTTGATTAATGAGAAGTTCATTACTCAACAAGAAAAACGATCCTTTTCTGAGTTGCTGTTTTAATGGATAAAAAAATAATTTGAACAGAAGGTTATCGTTAGACACTTGATCAAATAATTTCATCATATTTTTTGGTTTTTCGTTGATTTTAATGATCTTGCTTCTTAATGGCTTTAATAATTTTTGTTCAATATTCTTATTTCAGATTTTTTTCCATGTACTTTGAGTTTAGACTAATCCACACCCGTTTCTTAACGAGTTTATCCACTTTATTGGTTATAACCCGGTTCTTATCTCTGTTTTAAAGATTGTTATTAGTTCCAAAAGTGACTCAACATCTCTGAGTTCTTCTTGATTGTCTGTCAGTATATCAATTCAAAGCAATGCCGTCCAACTGTGAATCATTTTATTCATGATCATTCAAAATTTGAAATGGACAGTATTGAACATTTTGAATTTCGCAAATTTTTAGTTTTTTTTTATTCATACTTAAATATTCAATTAGAGTTTCAAGACTTTTGGAATCAATGCAAATTGACAGGCACTAGTTACTGGCCTAATGATATTAATTTGTATGATAATTATACAAAAGCACCTATTCTTATCAAATTTTTATCTATTCTTATCAAAACTACTGTTATAGTAAACCCTTGCTAGAACAATTTTTGTTAATAAAAAGACGAGAGTTAGGTCATTGCCCGAGAAGCGACATAAACGTCGGATCCTTTGATGTTCGGTGTCCCAACTCCGAACCGAAGATTTTGAGTGATAGACAACCTGGTTCACTGAGAAAAATGACCTATTATGAATAGCTTAATTATGTATATTTTTGGAAAATTTTCACAAGGATGAAGAAAATCTACATGCTTTATTAGGTTGAATAATATATTCGAAACTGCTCCCCCAGTATTGCCCTATGTCTTGCTCATAAAAAGAGCGCTCAAAAGACCAAGATGTACTTTTGCCTTCATAATGAAAAGAATGTTTTAAAAAATTGTTTCTAGTGGCTTTTATCAAATGACTTGGATCAAAAATATAAACAAGTTTTTTACCATCGAGCTCAAATTCAGATTCTTCTAAAGTGACCCCTAATAACTTTCACAATTCATAAAATTGCCCATGTCTCTCACGATACCATCAACATGCAGACCTATATTGGATAATTTAGAAATGCACTTATCCAAAATATCACGTAGATTTTTTGCTAGTAGCTGTGATTCAATGAAAAAAAAAGCAATCGGTTGTTTCCAGGGAGAATAAAGCCATAATAACGAGAACATATCTACATATGGAATTCCTCTTATTTGCCTCTCCAATATCTTCGAAACCAATAATTTCATCACATCCTGTATCAAAAAAAAAATAATGTTTAATTTCAAGTGCCTTGAATATTGCTGAATTTTCCAAGCCCGGCCTACATGAAATGTTTTGGGTCATCCTTTGCAAACATTGCTTTGTTGAAAGAGTCAATAACTTGCTAAGATGTGTATAATTCCTAGAACTTGAAAAGTAGTTGATCAAAGCAAACTGCTTCACTTCTGAAGAATATTTGCGAGATATAGGTTTCTTGTTCTTTTGTACAACATGCGACTTTATCACTTCCGATAAAGGATTCTCAAGAAACGCGTTACACCCTTTCAAAAACGTATTCACTGATAAACCGGTTGACGTCTTAGATCCCTTTTTGATTTTCTCCCTCCGTAAAATTTTCAATTTACTTCGCAATCTTCGTTTTCGAGGAGTATTGCTGCTTAATTTCAACTCAGTTTGAGTGAAAGTAGATGGCGAAAGTAGGGGTGGTGAAATTCTTTCTTCACATTCCACATTTACACTGCAAATTGAAATATTCTGCAAACCAACTTCTCGAGAAGAACTTTGGACCTTAAACAAAAAAAGTAAATCTGCTTATCTACTCAGAAAAATCGAATTTTTGGTCAGGAAAGAAACCTGAATAAGAGAAGAGAGTGCTCATTACAAGGTGTAACTTACATAATATCTAAAAATATAAAATTCAAATGGTGTAACCACTTACTAAAATTAAAAATAAACTTACCATCTACGGTCAAGGAGAATGAAGGCATTTCATCATTTGCGTTTTTCACAAAATAACACTTTCAGGGTGGAACAAATGTGATATCTGAAAAAAGGATTAAGTCTCAATTTCCATAATAAATCTAAGTACCTACGTTACATACCTGGCAGAATGATCACTTTTCTATCAGGTGGGTGGAAATATTGTCGGTACTGCTTCAGGTAGTAATGTATTTTTCACAGTTCCCTTTGATATGTACCTACTTTCAAAATGATGCTCACAAATTCTGTAGTTTTTGTGAAGTGAATCGATTTTTGGTAGTAAATCTTGCCTACTGCAAGCTTCCAACCAAACGTTTGCCCTGTAGGAAGAAATAATATATCAGTTTTGAAGTTGTTCTTTTGTATTTTTCTTTTATAAACAGATCTATTCAATTTTAATTATTTGATTGAAAGTATATTCAAGATTCCCATTCATCGTCACATATTTCGAAAATCGAACTTTGAAAATAGTCAGTAATTTACTTTTAAAATATAGCAAATTTAATTATTTCTCATTACTATTAGTTTAGATATACATTTACCAAACATATATTTCCCAAGATGTATAAAAATATTTACCTTTCACACTCTTGGGGAAATCTGAAAATACTTGTTCCTTCACCGGTTCTAGCTGAACGACCGCGGAAAACACAATAGTAACCAGACATTTCGATTTTCACCTCTTATAAATACACACAAAATCTAGTTTTATGTTGATATTAGTTTAACTCGTAGAATTTCACTCGAAGATTGTCACTAGTGTCGATTCAAAAACACACAACTACTGTTTCTCTCACGATGGATTCTTCAAAACTAATTATTTCCTGAAAACTCTTGCTTAAATAGCATAATTTTAATGTATACAGAGCTAGGTAGGTACCTTTTGTAACTAACTACCTACCTCATTATGTTTGCTCAGTGCTCACAGACTATAATGGAGACAACTAAGCCCGAGAATGACGTGGAGACAATCGAGTCGAGGCATGCGTCTACGAAAAAGGGACACAAAATGGCCGTCTTTGTCGCTTCTCTGTGGTAGGTATTCTCGGTCATTGTGTTGTTCCGTTTCTCCCGTAGCTTTACCAATAATTGACTACACTTTACATTAACCAACTTAACTTTATTTCACTGTCAATACAACCAACCACTTCAACTAAAACTTCAACTATTATTCAAATATCTATCGCCTTATTAGATAGCCGTGTACCGCACTGTCATTTAAACTTTACTATATCGATAGGCGAGTGGGTCGCGTTTATATATGGTAATCGAAGATGGTATTCCGCCGGAATTCCATCGAAGCAGGTAGCATTATTCTCGAAGCAACGTCACGTCTGGAACGGTCGCTAACGCACGTCGAGTTAGTCGTAGTCTTGGTCACATCACAATTGAACCATGCCTACCTGCGGCGGGCGGAGTTATTTTTTAGGGCATGATTTACAACCCTACCTACTTCCCTAAGATGTTCGCCCCGAACAACATTCCAGAAGGGAATGTCACGACCCATATAAGGACTCCTCAGTCTCTATGTGAACAACTTTAGACTTGCTTCTGGGTGACAATTTGTTCCTGTTCACCAGATAGTTTATATTTTTTGTTACCAAGTAAGGTCCTTGCCATGATCTTTGAAATTTGGGACACAAACCTTTCCGGCGTTGAGTTAGTAGAGCCACACTGCATCGCCCTCCTTGAAACTCACCGGCAGCGACATTTTGTCAAATTTTATCTTCATCCTGTCGCTGGAAAGCTGTAATTTGGATCTGGCACCAGTAGAAGACAAATGAGACTTTGTCGAAACGTTGTGAGAGCAATCCCAGTGAGGATAATAACACAGAACACTGATCAAAACCCGAAAATCAGTTCAGCATATCGTATCATCCTCAATGGCAATTTTCGGAATCTGAAATGAGTGAATCAATATTTGGGTGTGCAGCAGGCCAAAACAGTGTACTCGTATAGAATAGACAATCTTTATTATCATCATAAGGGATACTACAATATGAAGAAGGAAACTGATTAGATCTATAAACAAAGATCAGCCAAAACAACTTTTAGTCCATGTGAGATATACATATATACGTGTAGAGACCAAAATAATCCCATCAGTATGGTGAAGCCAATTCTACGGTTAGACATTTCAAGCATAACTGAACTTTTCATGAACTAGTAAAAAATAAATTGTTGTACTGACTATATAATTTCTTTATTATCGTTGATCTTGTGTCTTAAATATAATAGAGTTCAATTTTTTATTTCAGATTGGTGCCAAGAGGCGGTTTCAAAGGCTGAAATACTCAGACTCATTTATCAGGGTCGTTTTCTACATAGTAATGTAACTTTAGGTGCTTTAGGATTGCCATTTGGGAAGACTACTGTTATGCATTTGGTTCCTAGGGAAACCCTGCCTGAACCTAATTCTCAAGGTTAGTTTTTCCAGTACATTTTACTATGAAGGTATCTGAAACTATGATAGGTAGATAAATAAGCATACCTGAAGTATGATTATTCACCTTTCTGATAAATTGTAAGTATTTTTTTGGTGTTCATATCATTCATTTTAACTTCTAAAAACTATTTTATAAACTCACGGTAAAGCATATGTAATTCTATTCTAAAGAATTAGGGTGAGTCTTTCAATACAATACTTTAATTACACCATCCGATTTTTAAATTATGTAAACATATCTTTTAATTGTCGAAATATATCAAGTGAATAAACATTTGTGCGCAAAACAGATGCCCAAAGAGCATAATTTCAAAATAAATTGTATTATCGATGGAGATCATTTTCTCCAAAGCAAGAGAGAGATAATTTATTTTCAGTGATAAGTAGTGTATTGTTACGTCGGTTCGTATTGATGTACAATCCGTCAAGCTTTTCCAACGAACAAGGAGTATACCACACTAATGTTGTGGAATAGATACACAAGATTGTTAAGTTACATAGATAGATATATTATTTCTGGATTACTTCGGAGAACACTTCAAATATCAGTCACGAGACAAAGAGATGAGTGAACAATCAGAATAGTTGATTGAGGCTTTCGCGGCCGAGATTTTAAGTGTTAAGGTTTTGAAGATGACGAAAGCTTTATTATTAAAAAAGTAGAGATATTTTAGGACTTTTAGTATACTTACTGTTCACTTGAAGTTGCTCAGCAAAATATGTTAAAATGTCCCTATACTCTTTTGATGAGTTTCTGTTCATCCTTTTCTGAAATTGTAGTCGATGTTGTAAAAAGTTGCTCGTAATAGATATTGAGTTTATCTTTCGTTTCACCTAACTTCAAATACATAAACCTTCAAATGAATAACTTCATTCGACTTGAAAGACACTAAATAAAACACAACTGAAAGAGCGTTTAATACATTTTCAACAATGTCATTACCAACCTCGTTTTTTGGTTCCTAGTATACGCTGAGAGAGGCCATAGAAAAATATTGAAAATTCTCGCTATGGTATAGTGAAACACGTGTCGTGATTTTTGTAAAACTCTCATAGTGAAAATTTTTCAATAAATAGTATCAGTTATGGTTATTATGGATTTTCATCAAATATCGGTCNGTTGAAGATCCTTCTTTTGAATATTATTGATGGGGTTTCAATAATATTAAACATAAAATTACTTATTTGAGTTGTTACCTAATATCACTTGTATGAAATTTAACGAGCCGAACATGACCGATCACAGCGCGGGAACTCCCGAATGCAGATTCGGTTTCGATTGTAGTTTCGGCAGGTTTGCCGCCGAAACCGAAAACCGTTTTTTTGCCGAAACTCGACCTAAACCGAAACCGAACTTTCGGTCGGACACTAATACCAAGTGGTTCAGAAGTTATACTGAAATAATTTGAAATAATAATAATTTGAAATAATTTGAAATAATAATAGTGAAATAATTTGTAATAATTTGTCAAAAAATGGGTTCATTCAACACCAATCAGGATATCGTCCTGCATATTATTCTACCGGCTGATATCAGCTTATATAACATCTATTCGGAATTTAGATAATTTCAGATTTATCAAATCACCCTTGGAACATTTGAATATAATGAGAATGGTGAACAAACTTGACATTTAGTTATAGAACAGGTGAATATACCTATAATTGTCTGCTGAAGAAATGATAAATATGTCTACATTTTGAATGAACCGTAGAATGTATGCTGTTTGATATATTAACTCAAGATCTATACGAACAGAGAGTTTTTGGAGGTTTAAAGGAAGATTTGAGGAAACAAACAGTGTCAAACATTAGAAAACTACTTGATAAAATTTCATCAAATGAAGAAAATGAATTAGTGGTGATGCTTTCAACAGTTGAAAATTCTCTTGTGAGTACGAGGAAATTGCAAGAGCGTTGCATTTAAGTCATACTTCCATGAACAGAATGTTAATCAAAAATAAAGTTTATCCCCATACCGAATTTTATTACATCAAGAACTCTGTGCAATAGATTATGATACCAGAGTTCGGTATTGCGAACATTTATTGAATTCAATTAGCGAAGAACTAAATATTTTGAAATATGTTTTGTTTTCTGGCGAGTACACATTTAAAAGCAATGTCATGGTAAATAGACATAATATGCACTACTACTCAACAGAGAACCTCTGTTGGATATTGGATATGTTAACCAAAACAGATGGTCGATAAATGTTTGGGGAGCATAATTGAGATCAGAACACAGGACCATGTTTCTTTTATGGACTTCTGAATGGAGAAATTTATAGAGATTTCTTCCGAAATAATGTATCAAATTTGTTGGAGGATATATCGATTGCCACAAAGCATAGGTCATATCACCATTATGATGGCGCGCATCTACACAACCAAAATTGGGTTAGGATGTTTTTGAACAGGAGAATTGTAAGAAATGGGCCCATTCACCGATTTATGTCTATGAGGATATCTGTTAAAGTAGAGGTATATCGAGAGAAACCAACTACACCAGAAAACATGAATTTTCCTTGTTTTAATAATAACGCCATTTTCAATAGACTGTCTTTATTTCAGTTCACTGGTCGAATATACATAAAAATTGTGAACAACTATTTTTGCTACCGACAATGCTAGAACGATTTAGTACGTTTATATGAATCAACTGAGAATCAACTGAGAATGAGTAATACAATATACGTGACATCTCCCTTTTTTTTTATAAAATATTGAAATTAAAATTTTTAATAATACATACGTATAACTGGAATACCTAGTCTCGCGAATTAAACTTTCAGATATTTTCAGTGAGTGAGCATTTTCATCTAATGGTATAACCTCAACCTATTTGGTGTAATAATCTACTACAAGTATATACATTATACTTCCCAACTACAAAATGTTACACACAATAATTTTATATCATGGAATTGTTTTAATGTCATACATAACAATATCTTCTATTTCTCTACATATGCCTAGCAGGCCATTAAAAGACTGCTTCACACGATTTTCTTCAAATAGCAGGAATGCCCTACATGAATTTTCTGAATTTTTTTGGTACAATAGTGTTATGTCCCTTAAACAAAATACCATTACTATCAACAATTTCATTTATAAATCTGTAGTATTCTTTAACCGTTTCTGGCACTTTCTTAATTGTACATGACCAACCATTTTTTATGCACTTATTTACAAGCTTGAATTCATAACCCTCAGTTGTACACTTAACAAGTTTGACAAAACTTTCATCTGTAATTTGACAAGCATTATCAATATCACAATCATCTAGAGATGTGTATGCTCACGGTCAGAACCGTAGCGAAAAGAAAAACCAGGAGGGAATGCAAATTTTCCCAACCCCACCAGCAAAATTTCCCAACTTTCAAAAAAATGAAAGCCGGGGAATTAGTTTCTACTGTAATATATTATTTTTCTTACTTAGCTATCCAAAGATTGGCTAAATGCTTATGCTCGTTAGGGTATGCACAAACAAAAATAAATTTTGGTAATTATAAAAATAATAATGGGAATTATTCTACTTTGGACCAAGGTCTTTGGTCTTCCACCACAGTTCAAAGTTATGTTTTTATCCATACTTAGTACCCATTCAATACATTAGTTTATTTTGATTCTTCATATTCTGTTTGAATATGTCCAGTTTAAACTTATATTCCAATCTATATCTAGTACCTACTTATTTCATTATATTTATTGGTTTTATTCATTTATATTCTTTTTAAATGTAGCTATTTAGAATGTATATCTTGATACTTAATTTAAAGCCATTCAATGCCAGATTCAGTATTCTCATTCCTTACACACAGGCAGATCATTTTGCATTCTAAGATGTATTTTATTTGTTCACTGTTCATTTCTATATGTACATTTATATTTACTGTAAACAATCTTAAGAAAGTGAATAAATACATACTATCTGGAAAAAAGAATCCTAGATTTTTCCGTGAACCCTGTGGAATTTACCACGGACCTCCTCAATTGAAAAAGTGTGGAGCACTGCAAAACACTAGCACCATCTGTGACATTTCCTCATATAATTGTTATATTCGTTGCTTTATTTTTATTTGTTGGGTGTTGGCTGTGTATTTTGTGATGAAACGATGATTTTGAAAATCAAAAAGATCCAACAAATTAGTATTTGATTACAATAAACCTGAAACAAGCTCACGTAACGAGTACATACCTATTTTTGCAATCGACAGCAATAACGATATCATTAAAAATAATTGATACTCTAATGGTTCTAGCAAATATTTATTTTCAACAGGATTATCTTCAAGGCGAAATTTTACGATATAATTTGTTAAAATATTAAAGTTGGACAGATCAACTTGTGGTACCTGCTGGGTAGAGTAAAATAAATATTTTGAATTGGAAATATACTGATTTCAAAAACAGATACAGACAGTTGATCCAAGAAAAGCTTCAACACGATCTTCAACAGTATCAGGGCTAACTGAAAATAATCTTGCAATCAGTACTGGTTTGTATAGATCCATTTTTTGTTCTGGTGTTGGGAAAGTGTTTTCAATAGATAATACTGAGAGTTTGATATTAACCTACGACCCTTTCCACACCATGCGTCTGATGTTCATTAAATTCGAGAATCATATCCCCTGTGTATTCATATGACCAAAATGTCTGCAGTTTCCGGAAAACAGATTTGATTCTGAGATTGGAAAACTGGAAGAACTGTAAATCTCGATATTTCATCTACTTTCAGTTTTTTTTCTTTAGAAGGACGACCAAGGTGTCTAGGCACCACATTCGCGTCGCAGGAACTCTTCATGAAATCACAGTTACAGTTATTCAACACATCAATTCCATCCACCAAAACATAAAACTCAGAATAGAACTTGAAACTGATAATTAATTCCATAAACTTTTTGGACTTGACTAGCACAAACATCAACAACAAACATAATTTCGCAATTTACTACAAACTAACCCAAACAGACACAACTATCAACAACCGTTCTAATCACCCTTTTCAACAGAAACTAGAACTTGATTTGAAACAGATAATTCATTACATCCTCGGCAAAAAACTATTCAAACAAGCCGTTAAACTAGTACACCCTCACATCAAAAATAATACCTACTAACACTTCCAAAACAGTGGCATATACAGGAAAGGAATCAGAAATGATAAGTAGACTACTAACTAAACAGAATATCAACATAGCATACTAGACTGATATAACATCTTAGGTAGACATATAAAAAAACAACAAATCCAAAATCGACAAGAAAAACAAATTATGTTTCTACAAACTAAAATGTGGTTCGTGATACATACAGATAAAAATGACAAAAATTGAACCTGCTGAAATCCCTGGAAATGAATAAATGTAAACAATAAAACTTCCTATTGAATGACCAACAAGAAGTTAATTTCTCATCACTGTTGAATTTATATCCATGAAAAATTTCGTAGAATTAGTTGAATCATTAATAACAATAATTACCCCGCCTTGTACCTTTTGGCTACCTGATCTTGAAACTACGTGTTTACCAATTAGTAATTTTTATTCATCAAGGTCAATAATTTGTATAAATTGTAAAGAAGTGTAGTACGAGTCCAATTGTTGATGCTACTATGTAGAGAAACGCGTATTGGAAATAAAGTCTTTTTTGTGAAAATTTGTAATTATTATCATGAATAGTAATATATTAGGGTTTAATTTTCTGTCAAAAGTTGTTGAATTAACCCAACACGGGGATCTCGTCAATACTGTAAGAATGTCTGATATGGTGATACATTACTTGTAGAACGTTTGTTTGAAGGTGATTGACAATGTTTCATGATGAATTTCACTAGTTCGGACTTTCATTGTCTACTATATAAAATGATTTGAAATCCCTATTTTTTTAGTTGTTTCAGGGATTTCAAATCATTTTATATAGTAGACAATGGAAGTCCGAACTAGTGAAATTGTAGGAACGTGTTTTGGAAAATACACTTACAGTACATGCACGACGATCTCATCTCAATGCGGTCTTGTATCTAATCTCAGGAAAGCCTATAAATCATTAGGCTACGGTAGACGACTGTTGAATATTTTAAGACATAAACCCCCTTCATCAAATTTCAGCCCCCTTGGTTCGAGGAAAGCAAATATTATATGATTTGATAAGCCAAGATCAATATGTGAAAAATAACGTGGTAGAAACCTTTTCTTGTCTGATTTTCATATTATTCTATTTGCAGTTTTATACAGTTTTATTATATATCAATGAAGTGACTAATTTTATATTTCATCTTTTTCAGATCAACGACAGAAAAGTAAAGGAGGAAACAGTAGTTGCTGTTCGGCATCCTGTTGCATTTTGTAAACTGTACGTCATTCTTTTATACAGGAAAACTATAAAAATAGATGAGTATTGTATATGGGACGAGAATAACGAAGAATGGGTCTCGAAACTATGTGTAATTTTAAAGTTTTAATTTCAACTCGATGCGGTTAGTAACTGTAACCAAAAAGTTTTAAGTAAAGTTGTGATATATGTGTATAAAAAATGATACTCAATGTGCCAGACTTTTGAGTGTGTGATCAAAGGAACTTCACATTCATATTGTTATATTTTTTGTGTAATTAATTATATATAATTGTATATTGTGTTATATCGTAGAAAAATTGTAATATTTTATTGTTTTACTCATTATTCATTCTTGCAATTGTACATTATTTCATCCTTAAACTAAGAAGCCATCTATACTTTGGTAACAATCGTAATATTTAATGAAAATATTACCTACTTAACGTAACCTGAAAGATAAACATAATTGTGCTAGTATTACATGAAGTACTATTCGATAGAAGAATGATATTTCAAATTTCATCCTTTACTTTTTCAAATAACTCCTGGTAATGTCATCTCAGCTTTAAACATTTTATAAATAATCATAACTGATCTCATATAAGTGATATTTTTTATATGTGATTATTTTCAACTCAAGAAGATCCATTATTTTTGAGTTTTTCAAAGTGGGTTTTGCTTTGCAAAGTTATTTCTACATTTCATATTCTATCGAATGGTAGATATGTAATTTTTACATCTAAATTGCGATACTTATACTACATTGTTTGGATTAATTATCAAATTTTGTTGGTGCAAGTAATCCTGCTCTTATTCTTATTTCAAACACCAAGTAAGGAATTGAACATGTTCATTATCGAAAACATGAATATTACCAGTGAAATGAATTATGTGTAAATTTAGTTTTGATATTTCAATAATTCAAGGAAAAAACTATTTATCTTTCTTTCGCAATGAAGAATGAAACCTTGAAGTTTTGAAAATTTCACAATTTATGGTGTAGAGTCAAGTGATCAGAACCTAACCAAATATGATTTGTTGTTTGCAGGGATTTTCCAAACACAAAAACACTAATAAAACACTATAAATATACAAAGCTATTTAAATAGCTAAATTAAAGTTATCTAACTTGTAATTCATTGCTTTATTAAGGTATTCTGTCATTTCAACAAGATTCTGGTTGCTGACTAATATATTTTAAATTGAAAACCTATTGATTTTTATGACTACTTGTAACATCATTATTCCACAAACTGTTTGTTTTCAATTTTTTATATCTTCATTCGTCTATTGTATAAAGACTTGTTTGTAGAATAGAAAATGGATCTAGACAGGTATATTCTAAGCTGAACTTGAGTAATCTTATTTCTTAGGCTTGATCTGTTGTATCGAAGTATTAGGATGAAGTCTAAAGAAATTAATTTTAAAAATTATCAGATTGGTTTGATCAAATGAATGTTTATATTACATAATATTTAAAAAGAACAAAAATTGTATTACTTAAGTAGATATATTTGAGTTACCTCTTGTAACAACTATAACAGAGTATATTTGAAAAATTTTAATAGTTTAGGTCATGTCGACATCCATCTCTCATCCCTCCATCTTATTTTCATTTATTTATTACAACACATCAACACCAATTCCTTCCAAATTTTAGCAAAAACAACGAGAGGTGTCCAATTTTCTGTGTGTTTTCAAGGCAATACAAAATTTACAAACATTTGAAAATTGATTTCCTTAATACTGTGACTTATAGTAACTTCAATGGAAATAATAGGAAGTTAGATCCTATGACTATAAGAGTGGTGTTTTCAATAACTAACACCATATTAGCGAAGATGCATGTATTTTTTTATTCTTTCAAATAATTGATGTGGTCCTCAAAAATCTCGAACAGTACAACATTTTTTTTCATTGAATGTAATTGAGTAGTATATCTTCAAATATTTCATTAATTACAAAACATCAGATAAATGATTGTTTGAGAAGAGAACATAATTTTAATTCTGAAAAATTCCTCTTAGTATCTGATATTTATTGTGTTATTGTTTGACGTAAACTAACTTTGATTTGTGATAACTTTACAAAAAAAATATCTTTATTTATTCACAAAATTGTGAAAAAATTACCATTTTCTTCGTAATATGGAAGTGAGCCGGATATATATATGACTCTGAAGATTCTCACGGACAAAGTATGATGAGCTGTTTTTCCGGGATGGCAAATGAGAAATTGCCAAACCATTGTGGAAATGATCCTTTTCATGATCAAAAACACAGAACACGAAATGATACCCAAAAAAACAGCTCTGTCCGTGAGAATCTTCGAGTCAAAGAATTTCTATTCGATATCCTGCAGAGGAGAGACATTTCACTGAAATCAGAAACACTGCTTCTTTCAATCATTATCATCAATATATATAGAGACCAAAAAACTCACCACAATTGTATTTTGAAATAATTTCATAAAAAAAATGAAACTAAAGTTACTTCTTCAGATCATGTGTTTGTTTTTGTTTCGAATGATCAAATGAGTTTGATCATTTATCGTATCAGGTGAAATTAATGGGGAATGATATTGATACATTTTGGAATAGAGGGATCAATTTCAGAAAAAAAATTAAAAATATTTTATGTCCTTCAGAAAAATTCAAATATGTTGATGTCTCCCTAAGATAGATTTAATAACAAACAATCATTTAAATCTGCCATTTAGAAATTAATATTATTGTATACATATGTAAAACCATAATACTTACAGCTTTTTTGTAGCACAGAAAATTTTGCATCATCCCGATATTTTTTGAAAACGGTGACTGAAAACACACTACATACCATATATTAGATGTTAACATTATGAATGTAACTAAATGTGTTTTTCATGTAAATAAGTACAAAATTATATTTGGACCATCTTATTAATTTTTACGAATTTGTTATAAAGACAGGAAACTGCTCTTCCAAAAGTAAATTAGTAATCCAATTTTAATTGCCCTTTGAATCTATGGACTGGAATGAATATCTGATTTTATTGATGATTATTTTACTGAATCAAAATACTTTGAAATTAACTTTGGAAGAATTAACTGGAAGCATATTGTACATACGAACATTTCATTCAATAAATGTATTCTACAAAGTTGGGCGAGTATTTTTTAATCCTGATATGCTAGAAAAAATATACATAGATAATTTATTCAAATAATAAAATAATAATAATATTGGGAAACCGCAACCATTCGAAGTGTGACCTGATATTTCGCCATGTAAACTTGGTATATCAAGTATATCATTTGGTTGAGCACTAAGAGTTGAAGGACTACCATCTCTCACTCCAGGTGACATGGACAGGAAAATTTACGACAAATGCAAAATATGATCATTTTCTCTGTCAAATGGCTTCAAGAAATCGAACAGCAACAATTTCATAATTGATCAATGAACCAGAGATTATTGCAAGTTGCCAATTTTCCTCCCTTACTTAGAGAAGAAAGCTACAGCGTTGATGTTTGATCAGTAGAAGATTCGTTAAAGAACTAGAACTCACTTTGACTTTGACTTGATAACTGAAGGAAATTTCAAATCTCTGAAGAAACATGAATATACCTCAAACCTTCGAATAGGTGGCAAAGTTTCTGAAAGAGTCTGTTTATTCAAGGCCATTGAATGCCTTATCCTAAGTGGAAAATATTTGTCAAGATCATATGTACCTAATGTAGTTATTGGTCCATGGCAAGATTTTGAATTGCGTTCCTGAATAAAGTCTGTATTTAAATCATAAACTGTTCAGGGTGGAACCCAGATTTGAATCCTATCGAACATCTATACGACACTATGCAAAGGGAACTGAGATAATATTTAATAGCAATAATTACAGCTGGAACATGTTAAACATGAGTGGAAAAATTATTTTATTTAAGGCCTAGCTCAATCACCAAACCTCCTTCCTACTCTACCTTGTTTACTGAAACCAGTTGCACATATATTCTGTAGAAAGAATGTTCTGAAGTTCATCTTCTATTTTCCTCCACCATTTCTTCAGTAGACAGAATGTCTCGTTGTTTTTATCCTCTCATTTTCCGTCACTCTTTTTTTCAGTTCTTATGACGTTTTGAATGAACTCATGAGTTTGCAACCAAGCAGTCACCAGCCATGGGGATGGCTGTTAAGCCCGTCAGTATCTACTGTGTTGGAAATTTCATTCACCACTCCACACAGTAAAAGATTGTGTAAGTCACTGTATCAGTCATTTCGAAAAAATGGCACAGGTTATGCTGCATTTTGCTTAATCCGTAGCAACTATGCGAATATAAAGCAAGGATAAGTTAGGTTAGATTCAAAGTGAGTGGGTCTATTCAACCCTCCACCGCAACCCGCAAGGGTTTATTGTGGCTCACACCTATTCTCACTCGGTCAAACAAACCCAGCTCCTTAACGAAGCCGATTAGTTTGTATGGTGAGTGGTCTTTCAGGTCAGATGGTAAGAGTACGGCTCTGCCGAACTCTAAAGACCTGATTCGGTCCCCAGCGGGGCAGGCACGAAGTATATGCTATGTTAATGAGATAGTCGGATAGTCAAGTTGCAAGGTTTCCACCTAGATACCCACGACAACCTTCCCATATGAGGGTCTTTGCACGTCAGCTACACCTGACGATGCCTTAGATTCAGCCGTGCAGGGCTTTTTCGCCTCTGGTTTTGGGGGGTTAGTTCCTCACCTGAGACAGATTCTGCGTACGCCGCAGCTCTCGCTCTTGAACTAAATTTACAGGGAGGTCAATTGGAGTCGTAAACTCGACATCCATCTCCTCTGTAGACTCGCTCCTGAACTAAATTTACAGGGAGNTTCGGCAACGGTCTCAGTTTCGGCCGAAACCGAAACTTCCTTACAAGGATTATGTTTTGAGGAAAAAATAAAGAAAACGTTATTGTAATCAGTCAGTCTTTATTTTTAAATCACAACGTTATGCAGTCTTCGACATTTTTACTTATTGATAATCAACATAAAAAACCCTTATTTAAGAAAAAATATTAATTGCACCTTAAAAATACTCAAAATATGTGAGGTTTTATTTGAGTAGTTGAAGATCCTTCTTTTGAATATTATTGATGGGGTTTCAATAATATTAAACATAAAATTACTTATTTGAGTTGTTACCTAATATCACTTGTATGAAATTTAACGAGCCGAACATGACCGATCACAGCGCGGGAACTCCCGAATGCAGATTCGGTTTCGATTGTAGTTTCGGCAGGTTTGCCGCCGAAACCGAAAACCGTTTTTTTGCCGAAACTCGACCTAAACCGAAACCGAACTTTCGGTCGGACACTAATACCAAGTGGTTCAGAAGTTATACTGAAATAATTTGAAATAATAATAATTTGAAATAATTTGAAATAATAATAGTGAAATAATTTGTAATAATTTGTCAAAAAATGGGTTCATTCAACACCAATCAGGATATCGTCCTGCATATTATTCTACCGGCTGATATCAGCTTATATAACATCTATTCGGAATTTAGATAATTTCAGATTTATCAAATCACCCTTGGAACATTTGAATATAATGAGAATGGTGAACAAACTTGACATTTAGTTATAGAACAGGTGAATATACCTATAATTGTCTGCTGAAGAAATGATAAATATGTCTACATTTTGAATGAACCGTAGAATGTATGCTGTTTGATATATTAACTCAAGATCTATACGAACAGAGAGTTTTTGGAGGTTTAAAGGAAGATTTGAGGAAACAAACAGTGTCAAACATTAGAAAACTACTTGATAAAATTTCATCAAATGAAGAAAATGAATTAGTGGTGATGATTTCAACAGTTGAAAATTCTCTTGTGAGTACGAGGAAATTGCAAGAGAGTTGCATTTAAGTCATACTTCCATGAACAGAATGTTAATCAAAAATAAAGTTTATCCCCATACCGAATTTTATTACATCAAGAACTCTGTGCAATAGATTATGATACCAGAGTTCGGTATTGCGAACATTTATTGAATTCAATTAGCGAAGAACTAAATATTTTGAAATATGTTTTGTTTTCTGGCGAGTACACATTTAAAAGCAATGTCATGGTAAATAGACATAATATGCACTACTACTCAACAGAGAACCTCTGTTGGATATTGGATATGTTAACCAAAACAGATGGTCGATAAATGTTTGGGGAGCATAATTGAGATCAGAACACAGGACCATGTTTCTTTTATGTACTTCTGAATGGAGAAATTTATAGAGATTTCTTCCGAAATAATGTATCAAATTTGTTGGAGGATATATCGATTGCCACAAAGCATAGGTCATATCACCATTATGATGGCGCGCATCTACACAACCAAAATTGGGTTAGGATGTTTTTGAACAGGAGAATTGTAAGAAATGGGCCCATTCACCGATTTATGTCTATGAGGATATCTGTTAAAGTAGAGGTATATCGAGAGAAACCAACTACACCAGAAAACATGAATTTTCCTTGTTTTAATAATAACGCCATTTTCAATAGACTGTCTTTATTTCAGTTCACTGGTCGAATATACATAAAAATTGTGAACAACTATTTTTGCTACCGACAATGCTAGAACGATTTAGTACGTTTATATGAATCAACTGAGAATCAACTGAGAATGAGTAATACAATATACGTGACATCTCCCTTTTTTTTTATAAAATATTGAAATTAAAATTTTTAATAATACATACGTATAACTGGAATACCTAGTCTCGCGAATTAAACTTTCAGATATTTTCAGTGAGTGAGCATTTTCATCTAATGGTATAACCTCAACCTATTTGGTGTAATAATCTACTACAAGTATATACATTATACTTCCCAACTACAAAATGTTACACACAATAATTTTATATCATGGAATTGTTTTAATGTCATACATAACAATATCTTCTATTTCTCTACATATGCCTAGCAGGCCATTAAAAGACTGCTTCACACGATTTTCTTCAAATAGCAGGAATGCCCTACATGAATTTTCTGAATTTTTTTGGTACAATAGTGTTATGTCCCTTAAACAAAATACCATTACTATCAACAATTTCATTTATAATTCCACAAACTGTTTGTTTTCAATTTTTTATATTTTCATTCGTCTATTGTATAAAGACTTGTTTGTAGAATAGAAAATGGATCTAGACAGGTATATTCTAAGCTGAACTTGAGTAATCTTATTTCTTAGGCTTGATCTGTTGTATCGAAGTATTAGGATGAAGTCTAAAGAAANGTATTGAGCACCTGATAATTTTGATGACATTTGCTCAATCGATGGAAACTGAAAATGGTCACGTTTGATAGAGTTCGCCTAGTCAGTGGGTTCCTCTACCTTCTTTATTATTTTTGTCATCTCCAGTTCGGCCAAAGTTTATTTAAATTGCGTGTAAAAAGGCAATTGAATTTTTCGTGTTGTATGAACAACTGACGTCCTCTTCCCGTAAAGAGAGAATCCCGTAAAGAGATGTTTGTTTTCCCCAATACCTAAACTTATGATAGTTAATTGTCAATATCAATTTTTTCAGTTACATCTATGCATTTGAATAAATTTAATTTCTGACATGTGTCAATTCCTAATAAACATTTTGTAGATTTTTCTCTACAACGATTTGAAACTGAAGATATTGATAAAGATGTAGTGCTACTCAAGTTTTACTTTTTAAAACGTATATGAACCCTTCATAGTAAATATTGTCCCGAAATGGGTGAACCCCCTCCCCCCATGGATTTACCCTAGACACGCGCCTGGATACAATTGAAATTCTTATATTTCATCAGTTCGGACTTCCATTGTCTAATATAATATAAATTGATTTGAAATTCCTGAAAAAATATTAAAAAAGATTAAAAAACATTGTCAACCACCTTCAAACAAACGTTGAAATTCTTATATTGACAGTTGAGATAACATTTTCCTATTACTGTGGCACTGGTAGAAAATTGTTTGTGTAGATATGATTTTAATTTTATATTTGAATCTATTATGAAATTATGATGTAAATAAACGTTTCAACCTATCCATTGAAGTTTAACTAACTGGTGCTCCTGTATCTATTTTAAATTTCACATAAGTTTTATTATTGAGAGAAAATGTCACATATCAAGATCTAACATTGTTTTCAA